CACACACACACACACTCTCTCCAACACAACACACATGCCAGAAAGTGAAACTAAGCATTACAATGTTCTTGGGTGGTCTCAGCGGTGTGTGTGTACTTTAAGGTAGACGCCATGTTAAATATACCATGTTCAGTGTTTCTCACAATTCCAGCAAACACAATTTCCTAGTTATTCTTCCTGTGGAGGCCAGATGTGCTCAGCCAGTGCAGTTAAAGGAAGGATTTGATTCCAGTTTTACAGAAACATTCAGCAGCTTCTTGTACTGACAAGCCCCACTAGAAGCTGACACTGGAGCTGCTGCCAACAAGTGCCACTAGATGGAGCATGTATGCTTTCAAAAGAGAGCAGTCTGCTGCCTGTATGGTACGTTTGATTGAGGGAGCTGAATATTTTGTCATTACTGGCAAATATATAAACTAAGTATGTATAATATAGGCAATAATACTAAGAATAAAAACAGAGATATATAATATCAGTGGTTGAAGAAGTACTCAGATATTTTACTATTATACTATTATCTTATTTAAAAAACATATTTATTATCAATACCACAGTTTAGAAACACTGTTAGTACAGAAGTATTGGCAGCAATTATTGATGCATTAATCAGTTTAATGTTTAATTATTCTACACTGCATCTACATTCACTTTAGTACAGGGTACTTGTGCTTGAGTAATTACATGTTTTGCTACTTTATACTTAATATGGTAATTTTTATTTATTTATTTATTATTTTTATTTGACTGCTTTAGTTAATTAAGTTAAGATTTTACACACAAAACATATAAAATACAGTGCATTGTTGAAGATTAAACCAGTTGTGGCCCTTAACAAAAAAGAAGCACTCTTATAGTTTCGTTTTAATAATTCTTTATAGCTCAACAAGTTTAAGTAAACACATTCTTTTACTAGAAAAACAAAGATTAAAAAGTCAGAAAAATGTAAACAGATTTGTGCAGCAGAACTTTCTTCTTTCCTCTGTCATTAATCCTCCCATGACCCCTCAGATTTATCTTGTGACCCCCAGATACTCAATTAAACTGGCTAAATGTATGAAGTAGTTGAGACCTTGACATGGTACAACAGTAAAATGCTGCTTACACATCGATGCGTCAGTATTAACAATCTAATAAAGTCATATATAATCCTAAATTGGTCAAAATTAGTCCCCCTTTACCTTTGATTATTGTACTGTTACTTAGGTAGGTTTTAAAATGCATGGCTTTTACTTGTAATGGAGTATTTTAACATTGTGGTACTTAAGTAAAGGGTCTGAGTACTTCTTCCACCACTGCCACTAAACATGATAAGCCAGCATAAACTACATCACTGTCTTATTAACTATTAACTTCCTTCCTTAAAGGGAAGATGTTGTGAGAGAGTTTGTACTGGGGTCAAACCACAGGAGGTAAGAAACAGAAGGACGAATAAATGAAAACATTCCCTCTTCCTCCCACATGACTGAAGCACAGTGTGTAATAACCTGTGACCTGTTACTGTACACATCCCATGTCTAAGAATAACCAGGTCAAGAGAACAAGGAGCGTAATCTTTTTTGAAAAAATCTGTGCACACACTTTGGTGGTGAAGCCAGTACCATTTCCAATGGGAAGTGGTAAACAACAGCAATGTCACAGTAACAAATACAGCTGTAAATACAAGTTGTGCAAAAGCTCCATTGCTGGTACAGGTGGAACTGAGATTTTGGGCAAAACTCACTTCGTTTTGTAGTGCTGTTTGGTTTTATGGAGTAGAGCGTTGTGTAAGTAATATGTTGTCCAACTCACAGATACCAGGAAGTAGAATAAATATAAGGAATGCCTCTCAAACTGAAGCTTTCTCAATGACCATACGGTTTAATCAACACCTCTCTAAAACAGTTTCAACATAAACTAAACATCATAACCTTCACAAAGAAAGTATTTATCGCAGGATAGTTCTAGTGTTAGCTTTAGTTTTATCCACTGTAGTTGTGCCTCAAAAACTGGCAGCTGAGTGTACATATAAAAAGTACAATAACTCCTTCTAAAATGTTGTGAAATAAGAGTGTTTCCAAAAGGACCTCAAGCTTACTATAATTTGTAAATATAATTTTTTTTACTGCCCACTACAAGAGCCATTGTTTATGTCTGACAAGCTGCATAAACATGAAGGGCTTGAACTGCTAAATGTCTGCAGGGTGTTTCAGCGTCGGCTACAAACCAGAACATGATCTTCTGTTATCTGATACTCCTCCGTTTCTTTTAGAGGGACGAATAGGGATTGAAGATGGATGGCTTCAGGCTCTCCCCCTGTGAACATGAAAATGCCTCGCAAGCAGAGCAGCTACAAGTCAGCAGGATGTTGTTATTATTCTACCCCAGACAGGTCCATACAGGGCACTGTTTTCATCCACACACAATATTAAATGCTGACATGAAAACCAGCTGCTGAAACCCTAGAGTCATCAGACTTTCTCTAATGTGTCCCTGAAAAATGAGAGCAATTACTTTTTTAACTTCCAGCCCTGCGTGATGGAGGTATACGGAACAAAAGCTTCTTTGTTGGTATAAAATGGGATTAAGTCTCCTTATTCCTTGTTTATCTAAATAAATATATAATGCAATAGAATATGAACAGTGTGATTGGACTCATCTTTTCAATCATGGTGGTCATTTTCAAAACTAACATAGTGGAGCATTCAGCAGC